CTCTTAGAGAAAACTCTCTCCCTCTCCCAAGATGTGGCAATTGCCAGTAGCTCCACAGGTAGGGTAGAATTTACTGTCAATCTCCATCTTGTTTGGTGGGCTTTGGTCTGGCTTGGACTTGTACAGATCTTGTGCATGCTGTCAAAACCATGATGACTTCGCATGTGCAGCTGCCCTGCTGTGCACAGAAAACATTGTTTCCCTATACTCATTCACTACCTCTAGCTCTTATACCCTTTCTACCTACATTCTTTTCTCCAATGATTCCTGAACATTTTGAGAGGGAAAATGATAGATACATACTGTTTATAGACGAGAATTTTTTTCCTGAATTAGGACAGTTATAATTCTGAGTTAATCACCATCCACTGTAAGCAAAAGTGTGAATGTAAGTTTTATTTGCCTGATGTAATTATCATCTCAGCTGCTAACCTAGGCCTAGTACTAGAAGCTTCTAGCCTCAGTACAATCTTATCTAGGCCTAGAATGTTTTCAGCCTCTGATACCTACTGATGAATAATAAGCTCACTCTTTCCAATTCATTCTGACGTCTGGCTGGCTGGTTCAACTCAGGTGTTCTGGCTCAAACTCCTCTCCAAGCTGACTGATTGAAACTGGCTTCTCTCTCAGCCTCTGTCTTGTTGCTCTGTTTGGCCTGAAACTAACTCTAGCAATCTTTGCTTATCTTCTGGCGGTTTCTCAGTCTTTCGATTGTTGATTCTTTAACTGTGTCTAGCTTGTGCTCTCTCTGCTACCTGTGTCTCTACAAGTGTCCCTGTAAAACTGCCTATCTCCCTCTCCTTTTCTCTTTGCATGAACTGCTATCTTAGTAGCTTCCCTTTCCTCTCTCTTCTTATGAGAATTAGCAATACCTTATTCTGTCAAGTCTTTCTCTGATTCGTCACTTTGTCTGCCACTCAATTAGACATCACTTTCAAACATGAGTGCATTCTTCTACAAACTAAATTTCCATCATGGCTTAAGATTAAAGATCTGTACTAAGGACAGGTCTGTATTCGATCCAGAGGAATTATATGTGTGTGCTAAGGGCTGAGCCACAATTGAAACAAATTTTTTCAGTAAATAACACAATCTCAGGGTTTACATTGTGACAAAATATCCTATAACATAGAAGCTGATGAGAACTGAGAGAGATTTTAATCTATGGATATAGCAAGTTGTTAAGAGTCAGTTTTCAACTAAGTCCATTTGGCAGAGGAAAAGTAACAGGTTCTTTCTTAGGGTCTGTGACCTGTCTTGACATGGGTTCATGACCTAATAACGGTGGCAGTCATGGGTTTCAGCTTTTTTAGCAGGACTTAAATCCAATCAGAAAGTGGTTTGCTATTTCCATATTGTTTCATATTGTGTCATTATTACACCAATGGGCATGTCCTGATCAGTGTCACAGCTAGGTATGACTGATGATTACTTTTCTTTTCCAGCAGTGTAAATAAAACTGCCCTATACTGTGGAAGTCAGCCAGTAGGAATGAATCTTCCAGGTCAGTATCACATTCTGAAGGATAACCAAGAACAAAGGCAATTCCAACTTCTAGTTTTTCATTAATTCATTTGTTTATTCACTTTAATCCTGATCACATTCCCCTCCCTCTTCTCCTCTCAGTCTCACCCTGACAAATCCGTTACTCCCTTCCCTTCTTCTCAGAGAAGGAGAAGCCTCCCTTGAGTACCACTCCACCTTGGAACATCTAGTCCCAGCAGAACTAAGCACCTCCTCTCCTACTGAGGCCAAACCAGACAGTTCACCTAGAGGATCCAGTAGGAGGCAACAGATCAGAGACAGCTCCTATTCCAATTATTAGGGGACCCACATGGAAACCAAGCTGTACATCTGGTATATGTGGGGAACTGAGGTCCAGTCCCTGCGTGCTCTCTAGTTGGTGGTTCAGTCTCTGTGAGCCCCAGTGTGCCCAGGTTAGTTGATTCTGTAAGTATTTTTGTGTTGTCCTTGACCTCTTGGACTCACTCAATGTTTCCCCTACTCTTCCTCCACAAGATTCCCTGAGTTCTGCCTGTTGTTTGGATGTGGTTCTCTGCATCTGTTTCCATTCAATGCTGGATGAAGCCTCTCAGAAGACAATTATGCTAGGCTCTTGACTCCAAGCATAGCAGAATGTCAATATTAGTGTCAGGGGTTGGCTCTCTCCCATGGGATGGGTCTCAACTTGGGCTAATCATTGGTTGGCCATTCCCTCAATCTATGCTCCATCTTTATCCCTGCACATCTTGTAGAACAGCTGGAACTAGAAAATGTCATCATGAATGAAGTACTCCTGAACCTGACACAGGTTATATATTCACTTAAAGGTGGACATTAACCATAAAGTAGAATGTAACCATGCAACAATCCATAAGCCCCAAAACTTTGTACTAAGAAGCGCCCAAGGGAGGATGTGTGAATTTCACTCAGAAGGGGAAATAAAATGGAAATTGAAGGTAGGAAGAAGTAAAGAGGAATCTAGGTAGGAAAAGGAATGAGGAGGGAAACAGGGATGGCGATCAGGTGTGGAGAGAGACCAGACTGGAGAAAGCTGGGAGTGAGAACTGAAATCAGTGGCAGCATCTCTGGGACAAGCAGGAGACCTGGGATGGGGTAGGCTTCTGGGAATCTAGGGAGTGACCCTAACTGAAACTCCTAGCAGCTGGGGATATGAAGAGTAAAGTAGCCAACTCCTGTGGCCGTACTGGTTTTCCAGTGAAGAGATGGGGACATCAACCCACCCACAAAGACTTTGACCCAAAATGTGTCCAAGCTCAATTTTTTAAAGACCCGTACTAGTTTTAATTCTTATTTCTCAAAAGTTTTTGTGCTGGTGGTGGTAGTGAGATATAGATTACATATACATACACACATATATGCATATACATACAAACACACACACACACACACACACACACACACACACATTTTTAGAGTTTCTTAGGTCTCAGAAGGTAACAAAGGCTAGCCTCAAACTCATTCTCTTTCCCAAGCTCTCCTCAGATTCACAGCAAACCTTCTCCCTCAGTCTGAGAGAGTAGTAGAATTACTGACTTGCCACACTATGTCAGACAGTCCTCAAGCTCTCCGCAAATTCTCTAAATGAAAATCACCTTATGCAGACTTCTACTATCTATGAAATCATGGACCCAATTAATCTCAAAACCCCACCCTTTTCTTTCCTATAATCCATGATTCAGACACAAACACATGCTTTAAATTTCCCCCAGACATACATAAATTAGTAAAAAGCAGAAGTAGAAAAGAAAAAAGTACTTCTACAGACTGAGATATGATTAGATGAAAACTACATAAATCTTAAAAATCCTGGTATGTAATGAATAAACTTGTTTATTCCCATTGATTTTAACTAACTTGATCCTTGTTTACATTCTTATTTACTTCATTTCAGAGGAAGACAAACAGATTTGTCTCCTCGAGTTTATGTACTTTTTTCTCATGTATATAGTGTTGAGATTCTAATCATATCTTAACTACCTAAGTTAGAAAAATATTGACCCTATGTTATATAGTAATGTAAGACCTGTGGGATTATCCCACACTGAAAGCCTCAAAAAAAATCTGCATTATTTGCTATCATCTGACATAAATCATTATAATATTAATATCATAGCAATATGAAGAAACAAACGTGTCTAAAGAATTTAACTCTATTTTAAAATGCTGTCACCACTCTGAGGCCCAAACGACTTTATCATTGTTATTTAGAAGCTATGGAACTACTTGTATTCATTAATTTTCTCATTTTTCTGGGGGGAAAAATGACCAAATCACCTTAATGTAGAAGGAGTTTATTTTCTCTTGCAGTGTGAATGTATACTCCACCATAGCAAGGAAGACACTGAGGCAGATAATCACATTCCATCTGTAGTCAGATAGCAGAGAAAGATGAATGCTGGTTCTCACTTGTTTTTTCCTTTTTATTGACTTAAGGACCCTAACTAACGGGTTGATGGCTACACAGAATTATATTGTGTCCTCTTACCTCCATTAATTAGCCTAACTTATAATAGCCCTCAAAGACATATATAGAAGTAGGTCTCCTAGGTGATTCTATACCCTGTCAAGTTGACTATCAGTATTTACCATCACATGACCTAATACTGTTTGGTCAACAATGAGATTAATAATTGCACAAATAAGGGGACATATGAATATATTACTGAACAGGTACCAACAGAAATTGAGACACATTGAGAGGTTTGGTTTTTTTTAATACCTTTTCCGTGGAAGGGAGAAGAGATTGAGGAGACACAGAAACACTAACAAGTGCAATGAAACAACATATGGAGATAGGTTTTTAGAAGTGTAGAGCTCACTCTCCTTAGCTTTGGATTATCCCAGAATATAGTACAGAACACTAGGTGCAATCAACTGAGAAAGAGAGATGACAATTATGCACAACAGGGATATAGGAAGCAGTATCTCTTGTATCAAGTGGAACTCTTAGGAAACAATGGCAAAGCAAACAGGCGTTACTTGACTTTTCTTCCCATAGAGGAATTTTGCAGAGGAGCCAGAAGCTAAGACCATGGGAGAAGATTCAGGCTATCAGTAAAGCTGAGACATGAATACATACAATGTAGTAGGACACAATAACATTTTATTCTCAACATTCTGGATACCTTGGATTTTCTTTGTGTTTTTTCTTCTTTCATTCAATTGCAGCAGTGGGACAAGAGTTCAGCCTATGTCTGTAGAGAAATTCATATCTCAACACCTAATTGGATATCTGTAAGCAAATATAATCTTAAGCACATGATGACCCCTAAATTAGGAGCATTTTGAATGAACGTAGAGATATCTTAGTATCATGGAATTGTTTAGCCAGCATTATGATAGCTGTAACAACTGAGAATGCTTAATTGACAGAGTCATCTACTTGCTTAACAATACCTGGTCATGAGTGAGTCTAATATTCAGTAATGGATGAAGAATATGTGAATTTATCATAACACACAAATGATCATGTAAAATTACCTTTTCCTACAGCAGAGAGAATGGCTTTGGGGCAAAGATTTATTAGTGATGAGAATGAATGGGCAAAATGTGGGAAAGCATGTGTCTAGGAATGTAAATATGTTTATTATCCAGAGCCTTGGATTGTCAAATATTGTGTTATAGATACCCAGTATGACAGACATTGAGTAAGAGAGGACAAAGGTGCACACAAGAATCAATATTGTTTTTGTGGCTCTGTCTTCAGGAGAGACTCTTAGGGACTGCTGAGCACTGTGAATGTACTCAAGTTGACTCTTGTGCCTATAGAGAATGCTCACCATGGAGACACTGGCCCAGACCATGAGGCTCAAACACAGACCATCAGCAAAACAAAGAAAGAAAAGGTTTAGTAGAGTTACAATGTTGCTAAAAGCCAATGTTGAACAATACCCCAACTTGATTTTCTTAGTAAAATTTTTGTTATTATGAGAACCAATTACTTGTATAGCTGTCCTGATGTTTAGAAGCAGATGCACAAGCCAGCTCAGAGAGCAGAACCTAACCATGTACTTGGAGATTGAGTGTGCAAGTTTCATCCACTTGGATTGTCTGGAGCTGATTGTGATTGCTTGGAAACAACTCAAGAGGCAGGTACAGTGTAAGGAAACACCCCGGGACACTCGGTTACTGTAGAGAGTAAGTTTACATAAGAGGTCATCCAGGAGATACTGCAACCCCAGCTGTACCATTATGTGAGGAGTTACCCTTGAGATAATAACCAAGGAATTGGCTAAAGCCAGATGCTTTAAAATCTGGTCTTTAGGTATCAATCTTTTTTCAGTGATTACAGGTATGACATAATGAAGAAGAATTGACCAGTTGCCAAGTATCCCCACAACTGTCTGAGAAAAGGACAAAATTCTCATTGGCAAGTTCTCAGGAGCCATGTTCTTTTCACCTGAGATAAACAAATTTAACCACATCAGTACAACCAAAAAGAAAACATTCAAATGTGTATTAAGTCATCATAGTTTAAATAGTATTATTATCTCATCATTGTTTTTATAAATTTTCCACAATAAAAAATTCCTAGAAAGTTTTTATTTTTACATTGGTGTATACTGATAGTGAGATCTGTTATACTTTTATCCTAGGTTAGCATTTGTGGGAGTGAGAAAAGGCTGTAGATATGAATTCCCTGTCTTCCCAGTTTCTCTAATGCTTTTGTCTAAATTTTTCTCCAATAGATACGTCTAACTTTTCTGAATGAATTGAGTGTACTAATGTCAACAAAAGACTTAAATCCTTCATGTAATCCAGCTACTCAAACAAACAAACAAACAAACAAACAAAGGAGAAGAAAGGCTGTCCCCAGAGACACAGACATGTTTGAGCAAGATGAATAGAAAGGATAAATATGTTGAAAGACAAGTAGTATAAACCAGATATTAAATGTTAGTAAGACAGATATAACACTCAGTTGAAGAGACAGAGTCTTTGTACCCCAATGGCTAGAGTTTAAAACTCTGTAAATGCTTATACAACTTTAACTTTGATAAAGTAGGAAGAAGACATAATAGAGAAAAGCAGGATAAAAGGGTGGAGGGAGAGGGCTAGAGAGAGACTATGAGAGTTAATGTTTGTCATGTTAGCATCTTTGAAAAAAGGAAGACCCATCAAAGACCATTTTCTTAACCAGCTAAGGAACATCTCTGTCCTGATCCAGCATTTGTTATTTCTTGACAATGCATTCAAAAGAATGTGAAATGGGATATATAGAGAGAACTAAAATCTAAAATAAAAGACAGTTGGCTCAGTATGAAATTTTGACCATATGGAAGAATGTGATAAAAGGTCCAGATGAGGCTAGTCATGTCCCTGCCATACTTCAAAGAAGAATTCTCCATAAACATTCACTTAACAAAACCAGAATAGTGTCTCTCAGCTTGAGTGTCAAGGGGGATTGAGAAGCTGAATCTAGAGTCACAGTAGGTTCACAGACAGAAGGAAGCACTAAGAAACAGCAGTTCTCAGAATTTCCTGCTGCTCTGCTCCATTTGCAGTGCTCCTAGCTTGACCCTGGTCCCCAATCCATAATGTAGTTCCTGAGGCTCTGGAATTGACAGGACAATCCCTCCCAGTATTACTTAAACCCTAAAGTCTCTTGAGTTTCAGATTGTACCAGAAATGGTCAAAACCACAACAGTTAACAGTGAGGTTTCTCCTTTGGATTTCATTCAAGACTTCCTTACACAGTTTTCACAGTGAGGTGCTGAGGATAAGAGTAACTGTGTTTTCCCTGCCATTCCCCAAACTGATGCAGAAAGGTATTTATTGTCTCAAACTTTTAGAAAAAAATAACTGAAAGAATTTTCTGTTGCTATGTTATTCCACACAGGAATTCTGAGTCTTTATGCAAAGAGAAGGAACAGCTAATCTCACTGTGTGTGAGGCATCTTTCATATTATGCAAACAATTCATTCAGTCACACTATAACTTCTGGTTTAAAGTATTATATTTATTTAGCAAAAGATTATTTTTAGCTACCTAAAGATGTTAGTAAGTCATTATTGATCTACCTGCCTGTAATTCTTAGATTAGTAAATTTGTAGCCTGGAAAAATGTATCAATATTTAGGGGCACTTGCTTCTCTTGTAAAGGATGCAGGTTCCGGTCACAGCACTCATTCCAAGTGGCTCACAAGTCAGGAACTCTAACTCCAGGCAGAATCTTCTGGGCTCTGCTGGTTCCCAAATACATTCACAAACACACACACACACACACACACACACACAATATCAAATAATAAAAATAAATCTTATAAGAAAGACTAATAACTTTGAACCCACAAAGAATAGTAAGAATAGAATTCAACCTCCAAAAATAGGTGACATGGGGGCAGGAGAGATTGTTCAATGAATAAGAGTCTTTACAAAAAGCATTAGTATCTGAGTTCAGATCACACAATCTGTATATTATGCTGGGGATTCTTTACCACCAACTTAAAAAAAAAAAGACAAACACTGGATTCCAGATAGAGCTCGTTAAAAAAAATATGGGAGGGCATCCAACCATTACCTAGCTGCATACAGACATATGCACATACAACACAAACTATCAATCTTTCTTTCTCTCTTTCTAGGTCTCTCTCTGTCTGTCTGTCTACATATCTAGATGTTTTTATTTTTATATATATTTATATTATTATTTATGTACATATTTATCATTTATATTTATACATATATGTATATACAAGTACATATTTGTATTACATGTCAAAATGAGCGGAGGGAATGCATCATAAGATACAAAGGGAAAGTTTAGAGCTTCTGGAAGGTATTTGTTTGCACAGAATGGGGCAGGAGATAGTCTGCCCTTTGCCAGCAGCAAATAGCTCCTACGTCCTGTGAAAGCCTTTTCAGGATCTTTTTTCAATACTTAGCAATAGTGATCTCCCTTATTCCCTTCTACCTGTAGGTACTCTGTTCACCTGTGACTTGGTATAAAGAGAAAATGTACTTACTGTGTGCTCTGTAAAACCACAGTGGAAGAGTGTTGCAGTGAAGGGTAGACTCACTCTGTCTTGCTGATATGAGACTCTGGTCTCTGATTTACAAGCTTATTATTCCCTGGTTTCCTTCCTCAGAGGACCTGTGACTTTCATCTCTAGGTAAATGACAGTATCTACATGGGAGACTGAGAATAACATTTCAACAACTTTGCTTCAATTTCCTGTAATAAAAACATCTGGATTAAGACAGCAAATCCAAAGAAGCATTTATAAGGAGTTGGGAGAAAAACTTTGTGAGTTCTTAGAGTATAAAGGGTATCTCACAAGGAGAGCCACCCAAGTCCCATTCCAGAGATACACAAGGCAATTACATGGCTCTGTTTGGATTTGGAAAGACCTAATATTTTGGGGAACTTCAGATGTTAATTAACCAGCATTAAAGGGCACTAAAACTGGAAACTCCACATATCTTTTATATCTCACTTTTTAAAAGTAATGTTTGAAAATCGATTTTTTATCATGCAATATATCCTGATTACAATTTCTACTTTTATAGATTGTAGTTTCCCCCCTCCTTCTACTCTGTGCCATTCCTCCCACCTCCCCTAACCTCTGGATCTGTTCCCTTTCTGTCTCTCATTAGAAAAGAACAGGCTTCTAAGAGATAAAATAATCATAATAAGATCAAGCAAAGACTATCATATGGAAGTTGGATGTGGCCACTCAACAGTAGGATAAGAGCTGGCACAAGAGTCATAGACCTACTCATTCTCACAGGAGTCCCATAAAACTACTAAGCCAATAAATCTATCTATAGAGGTCCTGGTATAGACCTATGTATGCCTGTGTTTGCTGCTTTTGTCTCTGTGAGCTCATATGTGCCTTTGTTGTACTTAGTTGATTCAGAGGGCCCTAATACCAACTCTCTTCAAACTATTCCACAAAATAGAAACAGAAGGAACACTATCCAATTCATTCTATGAAGCCACAATTCCGCTCAAACCAAAACCACACAAAGACCCAACAAAGAAAGAGAACTTCAGACCCTTCCCTTATGAACATCAATGCAAAACTACTCAACAAAATTCTAGCGAACCGAATCCAAGAACATATCAAAACAATTATCCATTATGATCAAGTAGGCTTTATCCCAGGAATGCAGGGTTGGTTAAATATATGGAAATCCATCAATGTAATCCACTATATAAACAAACTCAAAGAAAAAAACCACATGATCATCTCACTAGATGCTGAGAAAGCATTTGACAAAATTCAACACACCTTCATGATAAAAGTCTTGGAAAGATCAGGAATTCAAGATCCATACCTAAACATAGTAAAAGCAATATACAGCAAACCAGTAGCCAGCATAAAACTAAATGGAGAGAAACTTGAAGCAATCCCACTAAAATCAGGGGCTAGGCAAGGCTGCCCACTCTCCCCCTACTTATTCAATATAGTACTGGAAGTCCTAGCCAGAGCAATTAGGCAACACAAGGAGGTCAAAGGGATACAAATAGGAAAGGAAGAAGTCAAAATCTCACTATTTGCAGATGATATGATAGTATACTTAAGTGACCCCAAAACTTCCACCAGAGAACTCCTAAACCTGATAAATAACTTCAGCAAAGTGGTTGGTTATAAAAATCAACTAAAAAAAAATCAGTAGCCTTCCTCTACTCAAAAGATAAACTGGCTGAGAAAGAAATTATGGAAATGACACCCTTCACAATAGTCACAGATAATATAAAATACCTTGGTGTGAACCTAACCAAGCAAGTAAAAGACCTGTATGACAAGAACTTCATGCCCCTGAAGAAAGAAATCGAAGCAGATCTCAGAAGATGGAAAGATCTCCCATGCTCATGGATTGGAAGGATTAATATAGTAAAAATGGCTATTTTGCCAAAAGCCATCTACAGATTTAATGCAATCCCCATCAAAATTCCCACTCAATTCTTTACAGAGATAGAAAGAGCAATCTTAAAATTCATTTGGAATAACAAAAAACCCAGGATAGCGAAAACTACTCTCAACAATAAAAGAACTTCTGGGGGAATCACCATCCCTGACTTCAAGCTGTACTACAAAGCAATAGTGATAAAAACTGTGTGGTATTGGAACAGAGATAGGCAGGTGGATCAATGAATAGAATAGAAGACCCAGAAATGAACCCCCATACCTATGATCACTTGATCTTTGACAAAAGAGCTAAAACCATCCAGTGGAAAAAACACAGCATTTTCAACAAATGGTGCTGGTCCAACTGGAGGTCAGCATGTAGAAGAATGCAAATTGATCCATACTTATCTCCTTGTACAAAGCTCAATTGCAAGTGGATCAAGGACCTCCACATAAAACCAGCTACACTGAATAGAAGAGAAATTGGGGAAAAGCCTGGAACACATGGGCACAGGAGAAAAGTTCCTGAACAGAACACCAATGGCTTGAGCTCTAAGACCAAGAATTGAC